AACTCCTTATAACTCCAAAAGTATTTTATGAAAAAATATTTTATTATAGTGTTTTGGAAAGCTTTCGAGATGTGCTATAAGAATATGCAATGAAAAATAAGGTGTTCCATTTAAAAAGATTGATCTGACCTTGACCTGACCTTGAAGACGCCACGCAAGGTCAAACGGATATGATCAGTAAATAGATCTTTTGGAACCCTACAACTTTTGTCTGAAACACTTTTCTGTAATACTTATATTTTCTATGATATTCAGGTGTCCCCGTACTTTTTCCCCATCCTGTATACTCTTTTTCCTTCCAACTAACTAATAAGGTGCGTAAGCCCGTAACCATTCTCCTCGTCGGATCCCTTTCAACTACTTCATAAGTATTTACATCCTGAAGCATCTCACTTACCTTGGAAATGTATACCTGTCTATCCAATGCTACCGTCACATTCCCCTTATCCGCTCGAGTAAAAATAACCCTATTGTTAAAGTTTTGCCGTTAGATGATACGACAAATAAGATACCATGCGATATGAATATCCGCTACCTTAATTGGTGCAATGAATAACACACTCCGTAAGAAATAAACTGAATATATTTCGCTCACATAATTTTGAGCTCAGTACTCAAGATACAAAAATACGTGCGAACGAAAGCTTATCTATCGAAGAAGAAGGCGGAAGCCCCGGTTGTCTCCCGGAAACCCGTTGCGCCACACGATCTCCCTAGTGCATTGACGCTAGCGCCATGCGAATGTACCAACCTAAACTATAAGGCGGCAATTACAACTAGAAAGACTGCAACGACTTTACTCTCCATAGAATACATAACACCTATCATTCATATCCCTTAAAAATATGTTAGTTTGTGTTTGCTCTGAGGAAGGCTCAAAAATGAGCCGAAACATGTAAGCGCGTTTGTTGAATAAAGAAGTTTCAAGCTTCATAAGTGTATTATTTGCGCCACGTCTTCTGCGCCTGACTCCTAACGCCCGTAATCTTTCCAATTCTTTGAGAAATAATAATAGTAATGAAAATAATATTAGTGAAAACATTAAAAATAATTAAAAAGATAATTTTTGCTACTATTTGTTTCAGAAAATATCAAGTTTGAAGAAATGTGCAAAATAATTACTTATGTATCATTATAAAATTATGTCAATAAAGGTTTGTAATGCCAATGAAAGATAATACTGTTGTACGTGTAATCAAATATTATACACTCATATGTCAATCATCAATTACAGACGTTTCGATCATAAGATTCGATCCTCTTCAGTGTTTCGATAACATTTTCGGAGTCAAATTAATTCGTTATGACGATATAGGCGCACACAGTTAATGAAACATCGTTAGGCTGTTGTCCAAATTTGAGAACTTTATAATCGTCTGTTGTACTTAGCTGAATATCCAAACATTAATTCAGTCATTTAGCTAAAATTAAATAGGATAAGTGGTCCAACAATGAACCACGTAAATTTCAAAGGCTTATATTTCTTTCAATTATTGAATTGAAGATCCGAATTTTAGCATACAGTTTATGAATTTAGTTGGCTACATACTGTAAACAATAACTTTTAAGTTATTTTTTAAATTTAGCCACAATTTCGATTATTTAAAAAGTCGGGAAGTGGTTCATTGTGTACAAGCGGGGTGTACACAATGAATCATGCAATTTTTAATAATAAATTACATGTTTTATACTGCGAATTGTTGGGATTATTTTAGTTTTGCTATATTTTAAAATGTTTATTTATAAAAAAAATAATTATAAGATGGTGAGGATTCACAAGACCGACTACCGCGTTTTTTTTTTGTTTTGAGTGAAAATGCGTCAAATAAGTATATTTTTATTGAAATTTTAGGCGGGGGGGAAAGGGCCGTATTCTAAATAATTAATACAATGAATTATAATTTTAAAGGTTATCGTAAAAAAGGTTATGTGATCTGCAATATACCATGGTTCAATGTTCACTACGTCAAAATGATTCATTGTAGACCACCTAACCTTTTCCACGATAATCTCCTAAATAACATAAAATAATATAACAGAAAAAGCTTACAGAATAATAAAGCCAAATATGTTGCACAATAAGAAAAATGATAAGCATAACAACACATAAAAAATGCGTAAAGCTTACGAAAAAAACTTACTTTGCAACCCAAAATTCTTAAAATGTGACATCACATGGCCGTCCTTGGCGCGATCTGCCAATCGAATAGGGAGTCGAAGAGAGGTTCAAATGCGAGTCGCTACATGATAGCAGCACAATCTGATAACATCGCATTTTCGAAATATCACAATGATTTCTAATGTACTACTGGTTCACTGTTTGACTACCTACCCTATATAAGTGAAATTTTTAAAAGCTATTCATAGTCAGAGTATTAAAATTAATTATCAATTAGATAACCTTACTTTGCACTCAGCATAACGATGATCTGTTATAAACGTTATGTGATTATAACTACGTCTTGAGAGGACGTTTCATATTCTCATTGTTTATAAGTCTTAATGTTAAATTTCATAAATACCAACATAAAATTCGACAATACAACACTACAACTAGTAACATCGATAGACCGAAATAGTTACCAATTTAATAATTAACTATACAAATTTTTATAACTTATAATACATGGAAACATCATTTATTCTTAAATAAATAATTATAAATCGGATCCAACAATTCCGTGTCATTCTGTGTAGATTTAGTCCATTATTTGGCTTTTGTGTAGCTTCCGAAATTAGTCTCTTATTTGTGTGCCTTCCAACAAGCGACACAAATGACACGGTGTGACACAATGGACCATTATATCCTTGTTGTTTGCCAATGTTAAACAAAGATGACATGATCACTGTGTCGCACTGTGTCGCTCGTTGGAAGGCTCACATTATATCCTTGTTCTTTATCTAAGATTTTAAGGGGATGTTGGAGGGACCCAATTATCGTCTTTGAAGTTAGATAAAAATCTTTGCATTGACTAAACGGAATAAAAAATCTTTGTACAGGATTAAAGTAAACGCCAAATCCTGATGTGGTACAGTGAATGTTATAAAATCGAAAAAAAGTAAAAAACTTTTTTAACTTTTTTTTATTTTAGTATAAAATTCACTGCACATTAGAATTCTGCGTTTACTTTAATCCTGTAAAAGGATTTTTTTATTCCATTTAATCAATTCGGAGATTTTTATCAAATTGCAATGTCGATAATTGGGTCCCTCCAACATTCCGTTAATATCGTTCCATTCAAAATCTGGTCCATTCTATGCTCTGTAATTACTGAATGTTGTGTGGTATTCCTATTTATGTGATTACGATGTTCATTAATTCGTGTTTTCAGTAACCGTTTTGTTTGGCCTACATAGGATGCATCACAATTTTGACAATTAATTTTGTAAACTACATTCAATTGTGATAGTGAAGGTAATTTCTCCTTTTGCGCTCTAATAAAGGTATTTATTAAATCCTATGTAGGCTAAGCGTACCGCTGTTATTTTTAAAAAACCTTTTGAATTTCTCTGCTATTAACGGTACATCCGGGACTGTAAAATATATAATTATTTTGTTAGCAAGTATTCTTTCGGTGTGTAGTATTGTTAAGTTGTTCGAATTTAGTGTGTAGCCTTTTTTTAATGCTTTCTAAAATTAGCCTTAAAGGACAACCGTAAATAGTCGATATTGAACCTAAAGTTTTTTTCATGGAAAGTTGGATGCAATAATAATAATATCCTGTCAATTAATCCCATAATTGTCCCCATTTTATGACATTTTGGGTAACACGCAGTAATTTAGATATCTTGCAGAGAACGTGGGTTTGTGATACTAATTATAAATCAGATACTCGTCTTTTTTTATTGAGGTTACATCCAAAAAATTCAAACAATTGCCGCCCCTTTCTATGGTAAAATTTAATCTGGGATGGTAACTGTTAAATATATTTAATAATTTATTGATATTTTGATCTTGTATTGATAGCGCTATGTCATCAATATACCTCACATACATATCAAATGAAAACGATAATCTTTCAATAGCAGTTTTCTCTAAATCTTGCATAACAAGATCTGTTACTGTAGGTGAAAGTAAAGACCCCATGGGAATCCCGTACGATTGTTCATAAAATTTATCATAAAGAACGTAGAATGAAGCACTAAGTTGATTGCTTTAATGCAGGGATCGCCAAAATGCTGAAATTGGGCACGGGCGCCCGCTAATGCCCGGCTATTGTACATGTCTACAGTTAACTTCATTCACAACTCACTTATTTCGCAAATAATTGAACGATCAAACAATCTCAGGGAGAGATGTTCGATCGTAATTATGAAGAAAGTCTCGTACTCGACGATTGACAATGTAGTACCGTCTTCTCTCCTTCGTGACGCCACAAGCTTCAGAGTAACTATTTTTCTTTCCCTTCCCCATCATGCTGTATGTTTTCTTGCTTCATATAGTTTAAAGCTTGATTTTCCAAAAATTAAAAAATTATTATGAGCATTGGAGTTGGGAAAAATAACACATTTTTTTGGGTGGGAGTGATCGCCTCGAACGAGACCTTCTTCATAATTACGATCGAACATCTCTCCCTGAGATCGTTTGATCGTTTAATTATATTTCAGATCTCGTTCTCGACGATTGACAATGTAGAGGTTAAGAGAAAATAATTTTTTTTTATTCCAATAAAAAGTACAATAGAGAATAAATATTTATTCTTTAGTCAATTGTAAGGTAAAAAAAGAAAGCGTTTTTTTTTTTATTTATGCCGGATTATATATAAGCGTTTTTACAAAAGAATCTTTGGTTTGAACAATAGTTCTGTTGTAATGCTTTGCGAAGACTTGTGAGCTTTCTGACCAATTAGCCGTTCTCTTAATAATTTCTAGGCTAACACCTTTTCTCAGTGCTGCCGATGTTGCCGCATGTCTTGTAAAATGAGCAGTGAATTTTTCGCTTATGCCACAGCGAGACGTAGAGGTCCTAACCTATCTACTTATTGTTGCAGGGGCAACCGCTTTGAAAGGCTTTTTGGTGGTCAGGAGAAGATTATCAATCTTCCCTCTCTTCTTATCGCTTTTATATATACATCAAATGTTGTCACGATGCACAGTTTTTGATTCCCTGGAAATTCTGGTAACACCAATAACGGTTGATAAGCTCCTGACCGAGAAATTTTTATACGTTCTGGTATCTCTGTCTCGTATCCCTTCGAATTTTGCTTAACGTTAAATAATTTGATTGCTGCTAACGTTTGCGTCCTGTGCACGGTATCTAGCGCTAATAGTAATACCAGACGCTCCGTCAAATGTTCAATTCGTCTGTAGGAAACCATTCTTCGATTTCGCGAAGCACTATATCGACGTTCCAGACTCTGTCGTACTTGGGTTTTGTAGGTCTGAACATGAAAATCCTTTTAAAAACCTGGATATGTTCTTGTTTTAACTTAAATTGTTCCCGCTAATTAAAGAAATTGCTGATCTAATTGAATTAAGCGACCCGTATGTCATTCCTTTTTCAAATTTCTTTGTTAGAAATTTTATAACGTCAACTTCTTTGGGTTGATAGATATTTTAGTCCTTGATCCCAGCAAAAAGACCACCATTGTTTTAAAGGTCCTGCGTACTGTTTGTAAGTCGATTCCGTTAAGGAGACTTTGAATATGTTTAAGGATGAGCTAGGCAATCTTCTCTTTTTAAAAGATTCCCTGATAATTTTCCTATCATCAGGGATAACTTTTTTGCTAACGGATGCTGTATGGACCTGCAAGAGGACAGAACTAGAGTAGGAGAAGGTTTAAACAGCAAAGGTTTCTCTGTTAATAACTTTGAGAACAAAAAAGACTATGGCTGGCTAGTCCAGTAAGAAACTACCACTACCCGTGGCTCGATCTGTCATTATCTTTTTTAAGACCCTTAAAATAAGAGCGAAAGGCGAAAAAGTCCAGAAAAAACCGAGTGAATGCCAATTCACGATGAAAGCCTCGATTGCGAGCGCTTCTGGGTCCCTTTCCCAAGAAAATAATTTCTCGCATTTTGAGTTACATCTAGTGGCGAAAAGATCAACTTCCAGGTATCCGAATATTCCCACTGCTCTACGAAAAGCGTAATCGGCTAGTTCCCATTCCGTGTTAATATTTCTTATTCGAGATTCATGGTCTGCCTCAATATTATCCTCCAATTTTATATACGAGGCCGTCAACCAGATGTTCCTCGCCTTACACCATTGCAAGATTTCCTTTGTAATCTTATGCGAATTTGGATGCCGCACGTCTCCCATTCTATTTATGTATGCTACCGCTGTGGTGTTATCAATACGCACAAGAATCTCGCAATCCCTAAAATCTTTAGCAAAACTTTTTAATGCAAAAAAAGTTGTTTTTAATTCCAAACGGTTATATGCCATTTTTTTTCCTCCCATGTCCAAAAACCCGAGCCGTTTTTTCCTTCACAGAAAGCCACTATGGTGGATGCATCTGAGAAGATTTCACATTTATAATTTCCATATCTAATAGGATTCAAAGATGTGGGAATGTTTCGTTTCCACCAATTTATGTTCGGCTCGAGACTTTCTGGGAGACGAATTTTCGCATCAAAGTTGTTATTGTTTTTAAGTAATCCTAAGTACCTAACCCGTTCGAATTCTTTAATGTATAAACGCCCATATTTTAATGCTTGGCAACAAGCGTTAATTGACCCGGTCAAACTAGACCATTGTCTAAGAGAGAAAACTCTCCCTGGTTTACACTGCTCTAGAAAATCTATCATTTTTTGCTTCTTATTCTCTGGTAATTCTAACGTCATTTTTCTGGAATCGTTTATGATTCCCAAAAACTCTACTCGTTGACTAGGCTTTAAGGAGGTTGTAAGAGCACAAAACACATATATTAATATTTTCGCTTTAAACAAATTACATACATTTGAAAGTTGTGTTCATAACATTCTGGTTTTATTGAGCAACACATTTTTATAGGTTATTTATTTTATTTGTTATTAGTTTTATTGTTATAAACAAAAATTGTTAAAATAATAAGAAAAATCTAAATGTTTTTATATAAA